TATCTATATATATATCTATATTCATATACAAAAACATAGCGCAATTTGGCCCTTGAATTTTACTGGTGTACAAATGATCTAAATGGATTGTCAATCAGCGATTTTGCTTTCTTGAGGTTGATCAATGCAGAGGTCGATTATTTTTTGTCCGAATGCATAACATTCGCTTTACTGGGGCTAACTACTTTGATCATGGAAACCATTCTGTTCGGCTTTTGGCTGGGGCCTGCACCCGCACCAGCAGCCGTAGCAGTTTTCTCGTCGCGCTTGCCGCAGAATTTTTGTAGGGTGCTCTGCACTCTTTCGCCGCTGCTGCCCACAAACTGCTCCAGTTTGATTTTGTTCTTGATGATCAGAAACGAGGGCATGCTGCTGACATCATACTCCTCGGCGAGATCCTCATTATCATCCACGTCGACCTTGATGATAACCAGGCAGTCCGCGTACTCCTGCGCAAACTCCTCAAGACGTGGTCCGATCAGAGCGCATGGGCCACACCACGTGGCGAAGAACTCCACCAGAACATGTTTATTGCCCGCCTCCGCAACGATCCGATCAAAATCGTCTTTTGATTGTACGGTTATGACCTTCTTCGTAGTGCTTTTTTCTTTGGCGGCAGCTGCCATGAGTGTAATGCCTGTGTGTCAAATTTTGTACGCCGAAAAAATTCTAAGAATCTAAAATTTGGAACAAGTTTCCAGATTATCTGTGTGACAAATATAACTAAGCCAGGCCTGTGTCTGTGCCCGAGCCTGAGCCTGAGCCTACGCCAATGGCATGGTCTAAAGAGTAAAATCAGTTTTCTGTTCATGCAACCACATTTATTTAATTTACTCTTCATGCAGAGCTTTTGCAAAGCTGGATAATTGCAAATAAATAATTATAATAAAAAAATAAAAAAATTTTAAATTGTAAATTAACAAAAAATAAAAAAAATAAAAAAATTAATTTTTGAATTGTAAAAAGGAAGAACTATAATTACACATAGAAAAAATATATTAAAATTGAAAAATTAACAGAAATATACTTATAGGAATTGATTAATTAAATTAATTAATCTTTTTTGTTTTAATGTATTTTATTGATAATATATGTTTGTATTATTATCAAATGCATTTACAATGTTTATTATTGTAAATTTAATTAAATTTAAGTGTTTTTTTAAATATTTCTTTTTACAATTTTATTATATTTTTTCTTTTTTTCCACTTTGTAGGCAAACTAGGCAAAAATTGCAAGTTTTTTTTTTTGTAGCTTTGTAATGTGTACAGTTTCCGTAATAACAATAATTAGTGTGACTGAGAGACTAAGAAATATCGACTCTAAATTAATAACAATATATATTAATCCTAATACTCGTTTCAAATTGTTTTCAAAATAAAGAGTTGATCATTGAGTTTATTGTGTTCAACAGTACTAACACCACGACTACTTCTATTATTTTGTACCGTAGGAGTACCTATATATATACTGATTAAAGTGGATCCAGATCAATGCAGTTGTCATAAAAGAAACCTTTACAATTGTAGCGAGCTAAGCCCGCTTTTAGTGCCATCCACCCACACAAACTTTGAAGCTGTGAACTTTTGTTGGCAACTGCAGCTTGGTTGCTTAGCAACTTGCTTTCGTTTTTTAGTTGTGTTCGGTTGACTGTTTGCTGGCTTGTCCTGTCCTGTCCTGTCCTGCAGCTGTCACAAATTAAGACAAATGCAGCGCAGCAGCTCTTGCCGCTCTCAACTGCTAACCTCACATTCAGAGCTAGCATCTGCGGTGCAGTATGTGTGCTGTCTGTCGTCTTTCGGTTGGTTCTTATCTTTTGAGTGTTTACCTTAAGACTTTTGAATTGTTTCATTTTTTTGTGCAGCTCAATACTACGCAAGGATGAGTGTCATGTTTTTTTCCGGCACCCAAAAAAAATGGTTAAAGTCTGAGAAAGAAAATTCATGTCTTAGCACGGGGTATT